CCAGCACTGTCACAAGATCATCAGATATGTCAACTAACTGCCTTAATCCATTGGGTTATTTTAAGACCTGACATTTTTGAAGTTCATTTGACAAACCTATTTGATTGCTACATACTGGGCTGACTAAGAAGATGCAAAGGATGTCAAATATCCTGCCCTAGGAGGATTAACATATAAAACATAAATTCACAAGTAACATAAATTCAGATTAGGTCCATAAAATATGCTTTTCCTTAACTCAAACTTGGAGTTTTCAATATTGCCCTTAAAATGTAACATTCTGTTACATTTGGCCAGATCTTAAACTAGCTTATCACCCTGATGACCTTGTTCCGGCTTCCAGCCCAAGTCTATTGCTTTTCCCACACAATAGCGAAAAGAATGCCTGTCCCTTGGGGAGACACCTTGAACACAATCAAGTCCCATCTGTGGGCAAAGTGTCACAGCTGGAGGGCTGAGAGCCTCTTGCTCCCATCCTCTGCCAAGAGCCCTGCGGTAGCTTCCCAGCAAGCCCCAAGTCTGCCCTTTCCGCCCAAACCTTACTGCCTTCTAGGCTCCTGCAATGACAGAGGAAGTGAGTTCCTTTGAGGGGTAGCTCAAGAGACCTGGCAAGACCCCTGAGTGTCCCTGTCCTCCCCATTGAAAATGCCACGCTTATTCTCCCACTTGAACTGTAGGGCACATTTGCAGGCAGAGAGGGCAGGGATCATCATCTATACCTATTTGCCAAACTGAGATCAGAGAAGTTAGATGACCACCACATCCTCAAAGCCAGCAGGTTCTAGAGGAAGGTCTTATGCCCAGACCCCTCAGCTCAGGGCTCTCATAACGGGACTTAGTTCCTACTGCCTCTGGTGTCCATATGCCCATCACCTGCCTCGCAGCACCAGGTGCTAGTTAGGACCCTCAGCCTGGGTCCAGGACCACAGCACGCAGCAAAGGTAGAGCAGGAGCCCAGGTCTCCTACCTCCCAGCCCCAAGGCTCTACCCACCATCCTCCCCGGCCCTGGTTTTCCATGATCACAGTGGAGCACAGGGCAGTGTGAGGCCCAATCAGCAATAAATGAGTCTGGCAATGATATGCCCAGGCAACGGGCTCAGGGGGAATCAGTCAAAAAATAATAATAATGAGACTTATAGCATCTTGGAACAAAAATCAGGTTTTTAGGGGGAAGGAAGGCGTTAGCCTAGATATACAGGAGTTGGAGTGTCACAGTATTTAGTATATTTGGTGCCTAACCATCGGGACAGTAAAAATGTTGAGAAGACGTTGCATATTTTGTGAGACAAGTGTATAGAACTTAAATATTAAGAAATGCACCTCTGAATGGATGATTGTCTTTTTTAACACACTGCATAACTGTTCACTCTTTCTTTTTTTTTTTTGTCTGTGTAGTTTATTGTATCTGGATCCCTCTCCATAGTGGCTAAAAAGGACAACAGCACTTGCATGGTGAGTCACAATACCATCTTTGATGGCCCCTGAATATTAGAATGTGACTCTCTACCAAACATGAGAAAACAGGTAGCCGTGTGGCCTGGCCCTGAGCTCAGTGCTTTTACATACTTTATTCCATTCAATGCCCACAGCTCTATGAAGTTCTACTATCCCCATTTTGCAGATGAGAACATTGAGGAACAGAGAGGTCAGGTGGCTTGCCCAAGATCGCACAGTGAGCACATGGCAGAGCCAGGATTTGAACCCAGAGCTCTCTGCTTCCAAAGCTGTTCTCTTTTTACCTATTGCATTTTACTACTCAAAAACTTAGCCTTTGGGAAACTCATGAGTATTCCCAGCTCAATGACTTACGGGTGCTCTGAATTAAGCAGAAAGCCAAGCCTGGGCCACACAGAAATGTGTGTGCATTTCAGCCACCTCTTTAAGGAATTTCTCACCCTCCTCTTTGGCTAGACCTAGAAAAGTGAGAGAAATGTTTGCCTCGAACAATTTAGAGTCCCAGCGAAGGGCATAGGGCCCAGAGCTCCCTTGTACCTTTGGAATGTCATTCTCTGTGTCAATATCTGGCATGGTATTAATATGTGTTCATGTTTTGGTTTCTGCTGCAGCCTCTACGAAGCTCTGGGATAGATTTCGAGCTCCGTGGTGGCCCTGCTCTCATCTCCCTCCTTCTCACATCCTCCTTCCCTCTCTTCACCTTCTCTGCATGGCTTCTCGTCTCTCTTCTGCCTTTTCATTGCAAAGCCATGGGTCAGCCACGGCCTGGGTTGTCTGACAGGGTTACGGGTTCCCAATTACCAATCCCCAGTCTGCAGGGCAAATGTCTGTGACCCCACAGTCTTCCTTACCTCAGTCCCCTCAGTAGGAGCAGAAACCCCCTGGCACCCCAACATCAGCTCAGCTCACACTGACCCTAATGTCCCAACAAGATTGGGTCAAGCCCTGTTCCACATCCTCTGGGAAGTCCAAGGCCCTGTGCAATGTGTCAGCCAATTCCCAGGGGTCTCCTTTTGCTCTGACATTAAACTTCAGTCTCACTCTGTGTCTTATAGCTGCTCTGGCCTCAGCCCAAAAGGGGGGCATCGTCCCTTCTTCTTCATTGTCTCCCTGTCTCCCTCACCATAACCCCCCTAAAGAGAACCAGCTTGAGTAGGAAATGGAGAGTCAGTAATTGGAGGATTTCAGCCTCTCAACATTGAGCAGCAGATCCCTTAAAATTGAATATTAGACATTCTGGGCCTGAAAACCTTCCCCAGCCAATCCTGCCAGCCCAGGGCCCAGCCTGCCACCGCAGGGACCAAGTCTCCCCCACTCCCTTCTCCCAAGGCAAGCCTGGAATCCCCGCTCATTTCTTCTGCCAGGCAGCTCGGCATCCTTGCCTTGTCTCTTCCCAGTGCAACCTTCCGAATCTCATTTCTTACCCCTCCGTTGCTTAGCAAGGTATTTTCTCAAACAAATCCAGCTCCTGCTCTAAAAGGACTTTGCACATTGAGTGAAATATTACATTGTCATCTCACTATCCTGGCTTCTCTTCCTGCCCGACCATCTCTTTTCTGTCCTTGTTTCCCTCTTCTCTGATGTCCTGAGGCCCCCACAAGCCGGCTGCAGACTCAGCTCACCGTTTCCTCTCCCTCCATCTCCTCCAGGTGAATGGCAGCATCACCACGAACATTGTCAGTGCGGTCCTCTCCCTGGTCGGGATCCTCCTTATCATTACAGATCTCACTCGCTCCCCGATGGACGTGAGCATCCGACTGCCAGGGCCCCATGCTTCCAAAGGACTTATGAGGTTGGCTTCCGGGAGGGCTTATGAGGTTGTTTCCAGAGCAGGAAGGAATTGCAGCAGAATTCCATCCTAGTATGACAACCACTGTGGATATAAATTATTTAACCCTCGTCAAAACCCTGTGACCTCCAAGGCAGCCATGATAAACCCCATTTCTCAGTGAGGACACCAAGGCTCAGAGAGGTGAAGCTGTCTGACCCCTCCTCATACCTATTCTATTTCCTGCTTGGAGGCAGCAGGTGCCCAGGTCAGCAGCCTGGGCAGCTGCCACACTCAAAGTCACAGGATCACTTGCCCCAGGAAACTGTCAAGGAACAGCCTTTAACCCAAACAGGAGGTGCTGGTGCTAGGTTCTGGGGGCCCTAGAAGAGAGGCAGAGATGAGGATTCAGGTGCAAATCACGTGTTTCAGAGGTTATCCTAGGAGACCCAGTAGAGGAGGGAAGAAGGCAGGCAAACAAGGGGTCAAGGCCACATGATAAAGGTTTTTTTTTTGTTTGTTTGGTTTTTTTTTGAGACAGAGTCTCACTCTGTCGCCCTAGCTAGAGTGAGTGCCATGGCGTCAGCCTAGCTCACAGCAACCTCAAACTCCTGGGCTCAAGTGATCCTACTGCCTCAGCCTCCCGAGTAGCTGGGACTACAGGCATGCACCACCATGCCCGGCTAATTTTTTCTATATATTTTTAGTTGTCCAGATAATTTCTTTCTATTTTTTTAGTAGAGACGGGGTCTCGCTCTTGCTCAGGCTGGTTTCGAACTCCCGAGCTCTATCGGTCCGCCTGCCTCGACCTCCCAGAGTGCTAGGATTACAGGCATGAGCCACCGCACCCAGCCATAAAGAGTTTTATTAAGCAAGTTACCGCTGGAGCTTCATCCTGCTGGAACCCTGGCAGACAGTGAATAATACACACCTTAGCCAGGCCCTCTGCTGGGGCCAGGGAGCTGGGGTATTTATCCACCAACTCCCTCAGTTGTTCACTGAAAACTCCCCCAAGGAGCATCAACTCCCCAGCGCTTCCAGTCTGGGCAAAGAAGTCTCCTGTGGCCAAAGGAAGCCCCCAGGCAAAGTACGCAGCTGAAAGTCAAGCAGCACACAGGTTTGAAAGACGGGAAGGACATCTGGAACATTGACACAGGACTTGAGGAGGCCTGAAGAACGAGATCAAGAGTAATTTGTTCCACAGTTAGCTCAGGACTACCAAGCAGGCCAGGGAAGGCTGGCAGGGCAGAGTGTCTTAAATCTGTCTACAGGGGTGAGGGCCGTCCCCAAGTGGAGAGCTCCCTACAGGCCCTGGGAAGAAGCCTGATCCACCTGGTATAATGGGATCTAGATGATACGGCAGCAAACCACAAACCCAGGCAAGGCGCTGGCCTCTGGAGTCCAACACAATGCAACCGAGTGTCCCAACAAGGGGTGGATTGTGGTCATGGGGAATCAAGAGCAGCAACAGCTACAAATCCTAAAAGTGGTCATTCAGCAGTCAGGTCCCCTGTCATCAAGGAGCATATGAGTGTACTATAGCATAGGTGCTTTGGATTCCAACAGGCATTGGTCCAAACGCCGTGCTCCCCACCCTCTATTGCAGAGAGCAAGGGTGCACACGGGATGAGGAGGGGATCTCTGTGAACCTCCCAGCCTACTGTGGGTGGGGCCCAGGTCCAGAGCACACTGAGCTTTGTGGGGCCCCTTCCATCCTGCCTTGGCTTATGTCTTGGCAGAAGCCCTTGACACTTGGAGGCCCCCATTCCCAAGCTGCCAAGGGCAGCACCAGGCAAGATTGCAGGAGGCTGGCAGAGCCAATGACACTGACCTTAGTGGGGGCCATCCTCTGACCCTGGCTGAGGAGCCCCAGCCCTTCACACATGGTTACTCGGCCAGTGTGCTTGCTGAGGCATGTCTTGGTTTGGCTTCCTCCCAGAAGCAGACTTTGAGACAAGTAGTTTATTTTGGAGAGGAAGCAAACACCAACCTAAGGGGGAAGGGAGTGGGGATATTGATACTCCTAATCCTGACAGTCGTGGATAGAGGCTGCTCTCAAGGGGCATTGATTCCCTGGAATTTCGAGTCTGTTGTGCCAACAGCAATGTGGGCCCCAGAGTCCAGAGAGAGCCCTCAGGCAGAGAAATGCAGGTGCTGGCAGCAGGAAGTCAGGCCAGTGTGCACTAAGGGGGTGAGGCTATGGCATATGAGAGGGATGCCCCCAGCATCTGCTCCAAGGTGCCCCATGCCAAGAGGGTCTCAGGCCTTCCAGATGAGACGTGTAGTGCTTGCCTAAGAGGACCCCTCCATGTGTGGACTGTCGCCCAGATAGTCAAACCCAAGGACAAAAAGCCTCCCATTCCTCTCTGCCTCTAGGCAAATGTAAAGGCAATTCCTGGTGGTCTCCTCCCCTTCGCCCTCCTGGAGTGCATCCTCACATGTGTGGTCTCACATTTCGGGTGCCAGGCTGTCTGCTACAAGAATTTTGAGGTGAGTGTTGGGCTCTGTTCCAGGAATCAGAGTGTGCTCCAAGGGGCCATAGCAACAGGTGACCAGAGATGGGGAGAAGTGAGGCCTGAGAGAGGGTATCTCAGTTAAGTTTTTCTGCATAACAAACTACTCCCAAACTTAGCCACTTAAAACAGCAACCCATTATTTAGCTGTTGATTCTGAGCATCATCAGTTGGGGCTATGACTGGTGGGCAGCTCTTCTGCTGGTCTTGGATGGACTCATTCGTGCCTGTGCATCCAGCGGCAGGTTGGCCTGGGCTTGGGTGGTCTAAGGAGCCTTGGGGGAATAGTTCATCTCTGCTCCACGTGTCATCGCATCCTCCAGTTCCCTAGCCTGAGCTTCCTCACAGGGGACTGGGATGAGAGCAGCAAGACATGGTGATCCCCTACAGGCCAGCACCTTGAAGTCCCTGCTTGTAGCTCACTTCTGTCGTCTCACTGGCCAAAGCCAGTCGCATGGCCAACCCTAGGCTCCATGAGTGGAGAAACAGCTCTACCTCTTGAGGAGAGGAGCTACAAAGCCACACGGCAAAGGCTCATGAACATGAGGATGTGTGGCCGGTACTGCAGTCTACGACAGTCTTGCCCCAGACCGCAAATTACTCACACCTGTGTGAGTAATGTAAAACATGCTCACCCCCATCCCAAGATGCTCAAACATCCCATCCAATTATGGCATCAGGCTTGAAGTCCAGGATCCCAATCAGGTATAGATGCAACTGAGGATTTGGGGATGTGAGTCTTACTGATCCAGAAACCCATGAACTAAAAACAAGTTCCATGCTCCATATATCCAATGTGCTTTAGTGAGACAGAAACAGGGTAACTACAGTACGCCCTCCCATTCAATAAGAGGAAGAACAGGAAGTGCGGGACAGTCACTGCTCCATAGTAATTCTGAAATCCTATGGGGCAAATATTGCCCTTCCCTGGGCGGGGGAAGGAGTGTTTGTTGACTATAGGTCAATCTGGCTCTCTAGAAAATCTGCCAGGCCACTATTCTCCACTGCTCCTTGGGAGGGGATCCCTAATCCATTGTTCTCCAGAGTCTTGACTCTATCCTCTTGTCTCCACCCTCAGAAATATTTCTTTTTCTTTTCCATAAGAAATGTCCCATCAGGCTGCGTACAGTGGCTCACACCTATAATCCTAGCACTTTGAGAGGCCGAGCCGGGAAGATTGCTTGAGATCAGGAGTTCACAACCAGCCTGGAGTATGTTGTGAGACCCCCCCAGTCTCTAAAAAAAGAGAAAAAAAAATTAACTGGGCATGGTAGTGTATGCCGTAGTCCCAGTTCCTTGGGAGACGGAGGTGGGAGGATCCCTTGAGGCCAGGAATTTGAGGCTGCAGTGGGCTATGATGGCACCACTGCACTCCAGCCTGGGCAAGAGAGAGGAAACCTGTCTCTCAGAGAAAAAAAGAAGAAAGAAAGAAATGTCCCATCTTTTCCATCTTGAAAAAGATGAGTAGTTCTCTCAACCTACCTATGTTAAGAAAGTGGGACCCAAAGGCGTTTTTGCAATTTGAGCAATTTCAGTCATGTTTGGTCTCAACTGGTAGTCTTTTTGCTGATACAATTCCCTTGAGAACTCTGAGGATATTTAATATATCAGATTATGTCTCTCACCATCTGACAAAAGCCACACCTGAGACTGTGTTCTAGACATGCCTCTCTCTCTAAATCTACCAACATCTATTTTGAGATTAGGCTTCTGTGGGACCACGTCCGTAGGATTCTCAGAATTCTTTCTATCTAGCTGACAGGGTCTAATAGGCACTGCCTTGTAGCTTCCAAAGGTCCTGACAAAAGGTTGTACAGACACATCTTTGATTTGATCTTTGTTCCCAGGCCTAGTTTTACTTCAAATATCATTTATCTGTTGGGGGCATTGGAAATAATAGACAATCTTGTTTTCTAACTAATCAAGTCCTGGACCTTTCATATTCCCTCTACTGAAAAACGAAATCATTCCTTCGTTATCTGCTCTCTCTCTTTCAGTACTTTATCATATGCAGCTAGGAGCACCCAAGTGACATTTCCATTATTCTGACATTTCCGTTACTCTGACCATCTCCTTAGCCAAATTCAAAAGTAATTAGATAGATTGTTTTGTCTTCCAAATGGGACAGTGCTCCCCGCTACATGGCGTGGGTAACCATTGCTCCAGAATGCCGGAGCGGTTTCCTCTCCCCTTTTCTGGCCACCTCCAGTGGTGAGATGGCCATTTTTCCAGACTTTGCTGGGCCTTGCTCACCACTTCTCCAGCCCCCACCTGCCACGCAGTCCCAAAGCCATTGCCTGTGTTGGATTTTTGTTACCCCACTTCTAACTACCAGTTCCTGTGTCAATTAGCACATCAAACAAGCCCAGCGCTTAATGGCTCACACAATGACCACTTATTTAGCTCCTGAGGCTCGGGGTCTGCTGACCTCTCCTGGGCTCGCCATGAGTCTGAAGTTGGTAGTGAGTTGCCCATGGCTGGATGATCTGGGATGGTCGCACTTGCACGTCTGGCCTTTGGTAAGCTGGCTGTCAACAGAGACAACCAGGCCACTTGTCTCTCACTATGTAGGGGGCCGGCCCAGGCTTCTCTATTTTCAGTGTTCCAAAGAGCAACGAGAGAGAGCAAACCCCAGTGGGAAAACATTTTACAGGTCTCTGCTTGTGTCGCATTTGCTATCGTCTCCTTGCCCGAAGAAAGTCACTTGACCCAGCCCCACATGAGGGAGGGAGGGTCTACCCAAGGATACAGAAACGGAAGGGGAAAACTTTGTAGCCATTCTTGCAGTTCACTACAGAGGAAGATGATAGCCTCAAGTCCTTTGCCTTTCAGAACATGACGGTGTTTTCAAACATATTCAGTGTCAACCCAGCCAATGCTACCACTGGCCCCTTCAACCCTACCACTGGCCCCGTCAACCCTACCGCCGGCCCCGTCAATGCTACCACCAGCCCTGTCAACGCTACTGCCAGCCCTGTCAACGCTACCACCGGCCCCATCATTGCTACCACTGGCCCTATCAACGCTACTGCCAGGTCCACCGGTGCTACCACCAGCCCCATCAAAGCTACCACCAGCCCCGTCAGCACTACCTCTTACCCTGTCAACCCTACCACTGGCCCTGTCTACATTACCACTGACCCTGTGGATGCTACCACCAGCTATGTCTACACTGCCATCAGCCCCATCGATACTACCACCAGCCCTACCAACCCAATCTACATCAACAATGTACTCCCTCAACCCACATACCAAGATAGAGCTCATTTTGCCCAGAGATAGATGACATGCGATGCCTGCTTTGACCACACGGACGAGCCACTGCAGCAGAACTTTTCCTGCTCCCTGAAACTTCCACGACCATGACGCTAGCGCTGTTGCTGGGCTGAAACGAACAACCATCTCCTCCCCTGCACTCCTAAGCTTCATTTTTGTTCGTTATTGATGCCTTTTTGTTAAATTCATAAATGATTTCCCCTTGGCTCTCAGTATCTTTTAACCTTGGTGAACTGCAGGGTGCGTTTTTGTTCCGTGGCTCCGAGTGTGTGCTCACTGTTGAGAAACCAGCTCTAAATCAGTGCCTGGGCCGTGGAATCCGTGGAGCTCCGACCCCTGCCCTGCCCCCAACTCTAACTCTGACACGGTTCCCCCAAGGAGGAGGGAGAGCAGTGCAGAGTGTGCACAGTGCCGGCTGGTGGTGCGTGTGCCCCAGCATTCCTGGGTGTGTGGCGGGGGCTGCAAAAGGCATGCCCCACCCAGCCCCCGACAGGGAGCTGATCAGGTTGCGCAATGGCATGTATGTTCTAACGTAAACGATAGAATGACTCAGTGAAAGGATACCTGTCCTCACTCCCACAAAGGTGCCCTATGGACCAGCAGTGCCCCCAGCATGTACCTTTCAGCCCACAGACAGTCAGTGCAGAGGCACCCCCTCATCTCCTGCCCTCCTCTTTCTTCCGTCCCTCTGCCCTGCCTTGCCCCGATGTTCTGGCTCCAGCCTGACAACAGGACACAGGGTAGGGATGATGGGAGCCACATGCCTGGCGCCATGCAAGAGGGTGGCAGTGCCCCTTACACTCACACACACACTCACACCCACTCACACTCACACACACTCTCACTCTCACATACTCTGTCACACACATGCTCTCATTCACACACACACTCTTACACACTTATACTCACTCTCACACTCTCACGTGCTCACACACATACACACTTTCACACACTCACACACACACTCGTACTTTCACACACTCACACACAGACACTGTCACACATACTCACACTCGCACACACACATACTCTCATTCACACACACGCACTCACTTATACTCACTCTCACACTCGTACTCTCACACTGACACACACACACATTCACACAGACTCACACTCACACACACACACGCACACACGCACATCTGAGGGATGTGAAACAGTGCTCAGCAGGCACACACACACCCCTCATTGATGGTCCCATTGCCGGGAGCCCCAGGGAAGTGACCTTTCCATTCAATTCTATTATGACCACTCAGCTAATTGATTGCACCATTATTAATAATTGCACAGAATTAGAAATCGCACAAAACAAAATTGGAAATGTCCAAAATTTCCCTCAATAGAGAACTAGGGCACTGACTAAAAGCTGCGGTACATCCACACACAGAGTCCGGGGCAGCTATAAAGGGGAACGAGAGTGATCTCTGTGTCTGCTGGGAGTGATCTCCAGGATAGATTTTAACATGAAAAATAGCAACAGCAACAAAAAAAAAGCAATGCACTGAATAATATATACGGCTGCTACTTTTGTATGAGAAAGGGGAAAATATAAATTTTGTGTACTCTTACAGCTCTTATACATACACACAAACATATTTTCAAATAGAAGCAAGGGAAGGCTAAACCACAAGGAGACATAAATAACAGAGACGTAGCATGTGCACAACTGGAAGACTCAACACAGTGAAGGCGTCAATTCTCCCCAGTTCCTATATAGATTTAATGCAATTCCTATAAAAATACCAGCAGGAATCTTTGTAGATATAGGCAAACTGGCTCTAAAAATTAAAGGCAAAGAATCTAAAATATCCAAAACAATTTTGAAGAATAAAAATAAGTTGGAGGACTCACACTATCTGATTTTAAGACATACAGCTACAGTGATCAAGATAGCGTGGTATTGGCATAAATCAATGGAAAAGAAGAGAGAACCTGGAAATAGACCCACACAAGTATGCCAGGTGATTTTCGACAAAGGTGCAAAAGCGATTCAGTGGAGGAAGGGTAGTCTTTTTAACCAATCGTTGCCTACAAACAGGCATTCACAGGCCAAAAAAAAAAAAAATCTCAATCTAAACCTAATACCTTATACAAAAATTAACTCAAAATTAATCATAGATCTAAATTTAAAACAGAACTTAAAAATTTTTAGAAGAAAACATGGGATAAAATCTTTGTGACCTAGGGTAAGGTAAAGAGATCTTAGCGTGACACCAAAAATACAATTTAACTAAAGAAAAAAAAATCAATAAATTGGACTTAATCAAAACTAAAAAATTTTTTGCTCTGTGAAACACCCTGTTAAGAGGATGAAAAGTCATAGACTGGGAGAAAATACTTGCAAATCATATATCTGACAAAGGATGTGTTTCCAGAATATTTAAAGAACTCTCTAAACTGAACAGTAAGAAAACAATCTAATTACCAAATGGCCAAAAGACTTGAACAGACACTTTAACAAAGAGAACGTAGGGTTGCAAATAAACACATGAAAAGATGGTAAACATCATTAGCTGTTAAACTATGATGAACTATCACTATACACCTATTAGAATGGCTAAAATAAAAAATACTGATAATACCAAGTGCTGGTGAGGATGCAGAGAAACTGGAAGTCTCTGATCCTGCTGTTGGGCATGTCAGTGGCTCTGCCACTCTGGAAAACAATTTGGTAGATTATTATTGTACAGTAAAATGTACCTGCCCTACACACCCACATGTACCTACACACTCGCACGTGTCCACACACGCGCGCACGCGCTCTGCTCCCCGCCATTGGGAAGCCGCGGGCTACCTGCCCCCTCACCTAACGCCGGACCAGCGCAGTGGAAGAAAGACGGGCGGCCTCTGGGTACTCCCAGAGCTTCCCTCCCCGGCGGCAGGAGCTGAGCGGAGGCCCATGCGGATCCCCACCTCAGCTCTGACACTGACAGGGGGACCGCAGCAGGCCACTACCCTCTCTGGGCCTCAGTTTCCCCTTCTGTAGATTGAGAGAAGGGAATTGGACGCTTTCATGGGGCCCTTGCAGCCAGGACGCCAATGAGTCCTGGGCTGCTTCCCGGCCCCCTCCTGGGGCCAGACAGGCAGGCGGAGGCTCAGAGCCAGGAGGGACCCGAGAACTTCCCAGAGGCGGCAGCTCGCAAGCAGAGTGGATTTCCAAGCCCCACGCGAACAGCGAGGCTTTCACCTGAAAATGTGTGAACTTGGGAGAGGCGGCTGCGGGAGAGCGGAGGCGGCGGGCGCAGCTGAGCGGCACAGCAGCGGTGGCAGCCCGGTGAGTACCTGATGCCCGTCGGGGAGGACAGCCCGGCCCGGCCACCCCCCGGGGCATCGCAGGGGAAATGGGGCAGGGGTGCGTGGGGTCCCTGGGGAGGGAAAGAGACAGAGACCACGCGGCAGAGACCACTCGGCTGGTGCCCCCCACCCGGCACCAAGAGGGACAGGACGGCTCCCAGGGCTGTCTGAACTCCTGGCCGCCCCTGACAGGGAACCGCCATTCGGGGCCCACGGGCCTGGCTGTGGGAGGCTGGGGGGGACGGTAAAGGACAGCCATCTGTCTTCTCTCCTCAAAGCCAGTGGCTCAGATGACTCAGGCATCCCCAGACACCCTGGGGCCCTAACCACCCTCCCGGGGAAACGGAGTCTGGCCGCCACTCCCACCCAGGTCGGGCAGAAAGGCAAGTCCCACCCACGTGCAGGCGGCCTGCCCGTCCCTTCTCCCTCCAGGCAGGGCTTCTCAACTGTGAAGGAGCTTAGGGGCAAATATCGACTCACCCCTCATTTACAGATGGGGAAACAGAGGCCCAGGAAAGGGGAGGGGCTGCCACTTCTCCCCAGCCCTCAGCAGGGAGTGGGCAGCAGAGTGGGGTGGTGGGGAACCCTGCCAAGGGGCCAGGTGGTGGGAGTGGGCTGGTCTGGTGGGTGCAGGGACGAGGGAGGCCTGCCTCCTCCACCGCGTGTTGGCATCTGTTGGCTTCCTCTCAGGCCTGTGGGGCAGCTCCGGGCCGCCCTGGCAGGGCTGAGATTGGAGGGGCCTGGCCAGGGCTCCTGGCTGCAGCATCCAGGCCAGTGAATGCCATGGGGTCGGACTTAAACAGAAGGAGTAAATTCCTGCCTGAGCCACAAAGCGATGGGGCTGGGGAGCACAGCTATGGATGGGGGAAATAGATGGGGAGTCCTCAAAAGCCTGGGGCACCCCACCAAACCTACAGCCACCCATCTGACCAATGAGGAAACTGAGGTCAAGAGAGGTTAAGCAACTTGCCCAAAGTCACACAGCTGACAGCATAGTAGCATGGATTCCTACCAGGTTAACCCCAGGGCCTACAGCTTAACCACTAAGCAAAGCTGCCTCCAAGACACTCTCTGTAGAGCCTCTCTCTTCTGGATGGTGACTTTTCCCAGGCAGCAGCTCCAACATGTGAATAAACAAAGCTGCCTCTGGCTTCTGATGAATGAAGGTGATGCCCAGAGATGTTCACAAGACAAGTCCTGGCTGCCAGGGGCAGCTTGGCCTCTAGGGCGGCCTATCACCGAATGTCCCGAGCTCAGTTTCCTCATCCACAAAATGAGAGTAATAATAGTACCTACCCTCTAAGGTTGTTAATAATAACAGAAGCTAAAAGTACCAAATGCCTCCTGCATCCCAGGCCCTGTTGCTAGGATCTGGGATGGGCATTATCTCTTTTAAAACTTGCAGAAGGATGAAACCAGGGCAGTCCCATCGCTTTTCTAGCTGCTCTCACGCAAGACAAACAGCCTCAGTTTAGTCATTCTAGCGTCCAGTCTTGTGTCACAGCTTAACTTGATTTGGGCACCTTGGTTCTCAGCCCAGGCACACGGCAGGGGAGAGGGTGCTTGGTGGGCTTCCCTCCCTTTTCCCACCGGCTTCCGCTCCTCCTCCCAGCTGGCCAGCTGTGGCTTCTGCCCTCTCCAAGCTGGATAACAGGGAAGGAGAGGAAGGGGCGGGAACGCATACTCGCCTGGGACTGTTGCAAGCTGGCGTCACCCTCCCTGAGGCTGGCAGGGGTTAGTTAGGCTGCCTTCTCTGCAGGGGTGTTTCACGGGTTCTATGGAGATGCCCCCCATCTCTAGGGCTCTCCCTCCTGAGTCCCCCCACCCCACACACAGCACTCCTCCCCCAGCTCAGGGACCTGGCAGGTCCAATACGCGGGGCATACCTACAAATCTCTGCAGCGGTCTCCTTAAAGCCACCCTGTCTTGTCTTAATGTGAACGAGAACGCATCCCCCTCGTCCCCACACGGGCTCAGGTCACTCTAAATGTTCTCACCCAAAATCCGCTCTCAATCTCTACTCCCAACTCTGTGAGGGAGGGCGTAAGAGGCATCTAGCATGTTCTCTGCCACCTGCTTTCTGCAAGTCCCACGGGGCCGTCTGCAGCACAGCTCACTCCAGGATCTGGGCTCAGCTGAAACTCGCCTCTAACATCCCTGCTCAAGGCCCTCAGCCCGTCCCACTCGACCATGATGCAATCTGTGGCCCTCAGTTTAGTGGTCTACAAGATGGGCTGGATCATACCGGCCGCACAAGGCTGAAGTGAGGGTCCACAGTCGCATGCAGGTGATGGCTCTTCATAAACTGTACAGGGCTGTGCCTGTGAGCAGCTGTCACTACCGCTGCTGATTCCATGCTTGACAACATGTCCATTGTTGATGTCGGGGTGTTTTCTGCATCTCCGCTACAGGCAACTGTTCCCCTGGTGGGTACCTTCCTGGCAGCAGGGGACAGTAATTTTTCCTGTTGTCCACCTGCCTGTCCCTGACACACGTGCGTTAGTGTTTGGGGCATGCTGGTTGATTGAAAAAACAAAGAAAAAGAGAGTTCTCTTTCTGGGTGGCACAGAGCCGGGGCATGGGCCAGGTGGCCTCTGGCATGTGGCCGATGGGTTAGTCCCGAGCCTCAGGGTGCAGCGGTGCTGGTGGTGGCCACAGAGGGGTGGGGAGAGAGAGGAGTTTGCAAATCTCAGGAACTATGTGACACTTTCACACTCGTGATTCCACTTAACCTGCCTGTCAGCAGAGAGCCTATTTTTGTAGGTGTTTTGTCTGCTCCTGAGAATCACGAGGTCTCTGCTTTACCGAGTTTCTCACCACCTGCCCAGGAGAGATGTTGGTAATCATGCGTGTGCTCCCTTCGGGGCGCTCAGGCCCACTGGGATCCGAGAGCCCAGGAAGAGCCCGCTGAATGCTGTGGCTGGTCCTCCCCGCCCCAGAGGACGCGGCAAACCTGCCCACACCATGGGCCTCGGACACAGGTTTCACCTGTCGCTGGTGAAACGATAACTGTGTGGGCAGAATGGCGAGGTGCTCACTGAGTTAAATTTGTTCCATTTAAACGTTTTGTCCTTTTATCCTAAAATGATGACCTTCCTGTCTCTTTGGCATTAAAATATCCATTCTACACGATCGATTTTTTTAAATGAACATACTTGGGGAAGTGGAAAGTTGGCAGACGAATGGTCCCCATTTGGTTTTAATTTGCTGGTCTGAGCACACCAAGCATTTCAGAACAATTACTCCCAGGAGTGAGGTACAAGCGCTGGTCCCCTCACTCCGACAAAGCCAGGACTCTCACCCAGAAGTGCATGAACTCCACGAATTCCTATTGGGAGGTGGGAGTCTGGGGTCTATCCCAGTTCTGTCTCTGCAATGCTGTGTGACCACGAGGGAGGCACTTGCCTTCTCTGAACCTCTTTTCCCTTTCCTCTAAAGCACAGCTAATAATCCATGCCCATCTCCCCTTAGTGTGAGATGAGGGCGACACCTGTTCATTACTCACATCTCAGGAAGCCAAAGGCCAGTGAGCAGGTGAGTCCTCCTTGGCCCGGTTCTCCATCCTCCTGCCGTCTGTCCCTTTCATCCCATGCTCATGGACTCCAAGGCCAAGCAGTCTTTAGCAATGTCCTCAGCGACTGTCTAATCATCCCAAGTATGTCTGGCAGGGCCAAATGGGCAGTATTTTCATGCATTTGTGCTGCTATAACAAAATACCTGAGACTGGGTAGTTACAAGGAATGGAAACACGTGCCCCACAGTTCTGGAGGCTGGAAGTCGAAGATGAAGGCACCAGCAGTTCCAGCATCCAGTGAGGGCCCCATTCCCCGCTTCCAAGAATGCGCCTTGTTGCTGTGTCTTCCGGAAGTGATGAACACTGTGTCCTCCCATGGTGGAAGGACGAAGGGCAAAAGAGCCTAAACCAGTTTCCTCCCGCCCTTCTATAAGGCACTAATCCATTCATGAGGGCAGAGCCCTTGAGACTTAACCACTTCCCAAAAGGCTCCACCTCTTGATGCCACCACCATGGGGACTGAGTTTCAGCATGAATTTTGGAGGGGCAGGGGACACATTCAAACCACAGCAGGTAGGGAAGGAGAAGGAGATGGAAGAAGAGAGAAAGAGGAGAGAAAAAGGTGCACAGGGTGAGGGAGGAGGGGGTCACAGGGGCCGCAGGCTCTGAGGACCCCTGCCGTGGGTCCATGTCCTTCCGGAAGACATCCCTGAGTTCCACGGTCAGAGATGCTTCTCCCCCTCCACCAGCCTCCCCCGCTACCTTGTGAGACTGAGGGCGGGACATCCAGCCGTAATTCATCTTTGTGCTCCCAGCCCCTACACTTGCTTATCTTAGTAAACACTCCATAACTGGTTGTTGGACTGAACTGTAAATTTCTCTTGCTCCTCTTACTAAACTCTAAAGTCCTTAAGGGCATGGGCTCTGTTTTATCCCTATATGCTGCGGTCCCCAACCCCCGGGCCAAGGCCCGGTACCAGTCTGTGGCCTGTTAGGAACCAGGGCACAATCACTGCCTGAGCTCTGCCTCCCCACCCCGTCCATGGAAAAATTGCCTTCCATGAAATCAGTCCCTGGTGCCAAAATGGTTGGGGACCACTGCCCATAGGAATTCATTTTTGGAGGGTGTAACAGTCTGGAGAAACTAGGTTATGCTGCTATAACAAACAGCTCTGTGGCTTAACACAACAAAGGCTTATTTCTTCCTTGTGTTCCGTGTCCCCTGGGGTCTCTGCTCTTGGGGACCCAGGTGGCTAAGGCAGCCTCTGTCTGGAACACTACTATTCACTGTGAGAAAGGGGGAAAGAGCCCAGCAGTGTCGTGCACTGATACCTAAATGCTGCCACCCGGAAGCTGCGTATTTACTTCCACTCACATCTGTTT